GCCCGAACCAGTTGTCGAGGACGAACCCGAACCAGACATAGACGAGGCGACGGAAGCCGAGGCAGAGGCCGCTGCAAAAGCCAAGGCTGAAGCAGTCGCAAAGGCCGAGGAAGAAGCCGCAGCTGCCGCGAAGGCGGAGGAAGAGGCAGCGGCAGCGAAGAAGGCGGAGGAAGAGGCTGCAGCTGCCGCGAAGGCCGAGGAAGAGGCGGCGGCAGCGAAGAAGGCCGAGGAAGAGGCCGCAGCTGCCGCGAAGGCTGAGGAAGAGGCCACAGCTGCCAAGAAGGCCGAGGAAGAGGCTGCAGCTGCCGCGAAGGCTGAGGAAGAGGCCGCAGCTGCCGCGAAGGCCGAGGAAGAGGCCGCAGCTGCCGCGAAGGCAGAAGAAGAGGCTGCAGCTGCCGCGAAGGCCGAGGAAGAGGCCGCAGCTGCCGCGAAGGCTGAGGAAGAGGCTGCAGCTGCCGCGAAGGCAGAAGAAGAGGCGGCAGCTGCCAAGAAGGCCGAGGAAGAGGCGGCAGCTGCTGCGAAGGCAGAAGAAGAGGCTGCTGCAGCCAAGAAAGCCGAGGAAGAGGCGGCAGCTACCACGAAGGATGAGCCAGAGGCCCCAGATGACGAGGAGGCAGCTCTTGTAGCCGCCGCAGCAGCAGCAGCAACTGCTGCTAAGTCTAAGGTAGAAGAAGCTAAAGAAGAAATAACCGCTAGAATTGCAGAGAAAAAGGAGAAGGAAGACACAGCTGCAGCAACAATAGCTGCGTCTCCATCCGATGACAAGGCGGAAAAGATTGCCCTCGAGGCCTCTTCTCAAGCTCTCTGTGGCTGCACATTGATGTAATTTGGTTCGCATCCCACATGGATATCCTGTCCACGAGCTGGATGCACGATGTAAATCGATGCATCTCTATGTTGTATCTTTTCTGCGTTTCTGTCTAACATAATCCGAATAACTGTTTATTCCGAAGCTAATTTTTTGGGTTAAAATTAAAATACAATTGCCAACCTACAGTGTTATGCGAAGAATCTGCCACCTGTATTTGTGAACTAGGCTCTGATGCTAATCACTTTTGTGATTTGTAGTGATAGTGTCAGCTCTTGAACACGAACTGGACAGTCTTTTCTGAATAAAATCTTTCACGATGAGCAAAATCGTCCGACACTCGTACCTGTCCATTACTATTGTCTTGGGAAGAATTGGTTTTTGCTGAAAACAGGTCCCGCGCATACCGTACGTATCGTACCGCACGGAACGAGAACGGTAAAAAGATCCGTTTTCAATTTCAAATTTCAATTTCCAACACATTTCCCGACACGGAAATCAATACTTCAATCGACTGCAAACGATTTCTTTCACATTCTGCAACAATATTCACTACATAAGCACGAAGTTATCATTTAAGCACCATGCCCGCAGTGTTCAACAGTGAGCAGCTCTTCGATGGTGACGATCGGAGCGAAGAAGCGGCGACGTTTCTTCCAATTGAGTCCCCGGAAATGCTTTTTTCATGGGTCCGGGCCACATCGAAGCAAATGCTTCTACAAATGTTTGATGGGGACGCTCGAAACACTGCCAGCACCCAGAGTTACCGGTGGTGGTGGCGGTTTTTCCCCGATCTTTCCTATGCGAAGGACTTCCGCGAATGGATGGGAATTGATCCAAAGGACGTTGTGATCTTGGTGTTGATTGGTTTGTTCACATGTTCCTGGTACGCCACTCGAAGAGACCGAAAAATCATTGAGAGAAACATGAAACAAGAACTGGAGGAAGAAGATCAAGATAGCAATTCCGGCAAAAATCAGAAACGGGACGATAAAGGGTTTTCCTACCATCGACTCGAAAAGGCGATCTCGGCCTCGTCAATGTCGATGTCGTCGATGCTCCACAACACGATCCACAACACGCTGGGATTCTCGACCGGGACCTCGTGGGAGCGACGCCTCCAGACCCTGGCAATGTTTTCTTGCTCTTTGGCCTTTCTCATGCCGGGTACCCTTTTTGCCTGGGCTGTGGCCTTGCATCATGGACTTTTCCGTCCACTTCACATCTTTGTGTTCTCGAAGGATTCGGGTTCGTCGTCGAAGATAGGCAACGAAACCGACCCAGTTCCCCCGGAGCTCGAGACAGCCATAGCCGCGATTCTAGTGTGGATGTATTTGGTTTACATTTACGCCATCGATGAATCGCCCACACAAGGATCCCGTAGGCCCTGGTTGCGAAGCGGACGGTGGTGGGTTTGGAAGCAACAGCCGGGACGCGGCGCGAATCGTAGAACGGGCGGCGGTTGGTGGTGGAACAACGCCTGTGATTTTTTGCCGGTGGTCCTGGTSAAGACGGCCGACCTCCCGGCAACAAAGAYAATCCGTAGCCCTGGTGATTTAGGACAAACCACGACGGAACCSCAAACCTACGTYCTGGGATACCATCCGCACGGAATTATTGCCATAGGGGCCTTTTGCGCCTTTGCCACCGAGGGGGCCCGTGTACTGGATTTGTCGAAGACGATGATGAATACCAATCGCGACGCACTCTCTAGTTTGARAGGAATGGAACCAAAGGACTGGAAAGACGAGGATAGCGAAAATGACAGTGATTGCACTACTGAMGACGGAGAAGAGGATAAAGAGTTGCWGACGCATCTCCCACTGCGACCATCTTCCCTGAGTTTGTTGGACGATGGCAACGACAGCAACAAGSACGATCATGCAGCTCGGCAACCAGAAAAGATAACGAGGACAAGCATTAGCCGTATCCAGCCAAATCAAACCCAATCACCCAARCGCGGTTTCGGCTCGGTCTTTCCGGGCCTCGATCGACGCATCGTCACGCTGCCAATTAACTTCACCATACCCTTCCTGAGGGAGTATTTCTTGGCCATGGGRGCCGTGACTAGCCAAAAGGAAACCTTTCGGAAGTATCTGGACCATTCGAACCATGCCGCTGCGAAGAATAATGATGCGGGAGACCCCGGAAGGGCACTCGTGGTTGTAGTCGGGGGAGCTGCTGAATCCATGATGGCCCACGAAGGGGGGATCGAGCTGGTCCTGAATTCGAGGAGGGGTTTTGTTCGGGAGGCGATTCGGGCRGGGGCGAATCTAGTGCCRGTCCTCGGGTTCGGTGAGTCACAAATCCGAAAACAGCGCATCGTGGATTGCTGTGCATTGGATGTGTCCAGTGTAGCATCACAWAGTATCTAATCATCCTCTCCATTGCTGTTCTCCGATTGTCTATTTTATCCACTCAATCACATGGTGTTTTTCTACTTCTATTGTTCTCTTCGTTATACTCGCAGGCGAAACAAATCTCTACACACTCTACGACGACATCGACGACATCAGCGCCGGCAATAGTGACGGAGGCGACGYCGGTGCGCAAGCCTCGCATTCGCCGTCCCTGGCCAGCACGGTGGTTTCGGGCCTCCAAGGATTTGTCAGGAAAACATTTGGCGTGGCCGTTCCATTGTTTAGGGGACGGTCGATCTTTTTCAACAGCCTTGGGGTGATGCCGAGGCGGCGGCCCGTGGTGGTCGTCGTCGGCAAGCCAATCCCTCCCCCCGAGCCCAACCAGATACTCCCCGAACCATCCGAAACCAAAACCACAAAAGCCTCGATATATGGGACCTTTTCGCCCAAGATCGATCGCTCCAAAGACATACCAATGAACGACCACGGAAAGCTGTTGATCGAGTGGCACGCGAAATATGTCAGGGCGCTGGAAGAATTGTACCACCAACACAAGGATGCCAGCTGGAACTCCCCCGGAAACAATCGAAAGCAATCGATGGTAATCGTACGGTGAAGAATACATCGCGCAAAGAGGACCCCCTTGAGCAGAATCAAAGATACTACTTCTCTATGTATCTCATGGCACAATGCCCTAGGGAAAAATAGTGTTACATGGTACTACTATCGATTACTATGTGATCAATAATCGAATCATGGAGTAAAATTATATTTGTTACGGTTGAAATTTTSAGTGCCAATATTTTAGCAATTTCTCCATGCGACAAGGAGAGGGAGGCGTTCCACAAGTTTCTAGGTGATTGATCCACACGGTGGTTAGCATCAATCCCAATCGAACGTCGCCTGAATTTTTGGGCGATGCTTTCGTTTCGTTTTCGTTGCCGTATTGTACGTCTGGGCAAACCACACAATCCGAACCAGATCGAGATTGGCGTTACGACACGTTTTGGTCGTTTTTCCTTTCACTGAAAAATGCTTCTCGCCTTCCGATGCCACTGGTGATCACGAGACGAATGGATCATTCGAATTGMAGTTCTGCTTTGATTCATTTTGCTCTGCTCCGTTCCCCTCTTATTTAGTTGGTAGTAAAATTTCTGCTTTTATCTTTCGCGGCTTTCGCCATGTTCTCCTGCATTTCTTCCACCTTTTCCAGGGGACGGTCGGCCTGCAAAACGGCCCGGATGACSGCGACCCCATCCGCACCCCTAGCCACGRGCTCGAAGCAATTGGTCTCGTCGATCCCCCCGATGGCGAGGACACGGGGCCGTGGAACGCTTTGGTCTTGGCCGGGTGCCGCTGACTGTGATCCCGGTCCCTCTTGWTCCGACAGGGCCCGCCCGACGCTCCCCGGCAGTTCCGGTCCCTCCAGCTGGTCCTGWCGCGTTTTTTCCGGGTGGGAGGCCGTGAGGTAACATGTTCCCACGAAGTAGTAGTCGGGCCGKAACCTCCCAGAAGACGACCGAAGGGCGCTCTCGACGCTRTGCGYCGACGTTCCAACGACAATGGGGTAGTCGAATCTACCCACAATGTCGGGGAGCCGATCCAGGTGGTGTTCCTTGACGTGAACGCCGTGGGCCCTGGCGCGAACGGCGACCGATACCAGGTCGCTGGAACACACCACCCGAAAGAACGCGGACGACGACGAGCCTTTGACCTTTCCCCCTTCTCTCGCCTGGTCGTCGTCGTCGTCGTCGTCGTTGTCGTCGATTTGATTTCTCTGTTCGGACGAGAGTTCGACGAGCTTCTCGGTCAGCGTTGTGGCTCGCTCCAGTACTCGCTGGTACCCGTCGTTCTCACCGTCGTTGTCGTTCCGGGGAGGCAGGGACAAGCGAACACTTACCAGATCCACTTTTCGGCTCGATACTGCCTGTCGGATGGCCTCCAGGGTGTGGTTCATTCTCTCCTCGGAGTCGCAGGCATCGGTTTCCGTWATGATSGCCAAGAGGGGCCGGTGGGAGGGGAACAGCGACGCGTCTTGCATTTCTTGGCCCGGAAYCCGTCCAGGCATGGCTGCCAATCTCGAGGAAGCGGGTTGTTCGGCATTGATTCCCTGTCGACAAGGCATTTGGCATCGTCGATCACGATTTTGTCGTCGAAACGACGACGAGATGCATGAGGGAAGCTTCCAGGCGTGGCAGATTGGTGGGCAAACCACGACGGAGACCAGCAGCTGAAGGGCGGTGGTCAGAAGAAGAAATCCCGTGGTTCGACGGCTCTGCCATGATGCCTGCCCCAAAGTTCCGCGTTTCGTCGACAGCGGCAACGAGGTGATTTTCTGATTTATACTTTTATTGGATTTCGACGAAGCAGTGTCCATTGTTGTCGAAGCAATGCTTGCCAACCGCTCGTCAAGAACCACGATGGCGAGACGACAGAACAGAACAACAGTGGTGCCAATGAATCAATCTCGCATGGGGATTGACGCGGCGGTGGCTTGCTGTCGGAAGCGTCTCGTCGTTGTTGACGGATGATGCTCTGTTGAAACGACGACAGAGCCGTAAAATTCTGTCGACGCAATTGGGCTACAGGTACCGTAGAAGTTTTGGATGGCAGACGTGCAGGATTGATGTGACCGGTGACACAGTCAACCCAGTCGGAACAAAAGATGTGTTGATGGATGAGTTCAGCTGGGCGTGTTCTTGTGGGAGTTGCTGACCACGATTCAAAATGTCCGGGACTGACCGGAACGAACCAATGATATCCAAGAATCTGCCGTATTCCAGCTGATGCGCTGCTGGTAGAAACAGCGCAGACACCTCCCGCTCGAAAGCATTCCTCTCCTTGCGATGACGATGCAAAATGATGCGTAGAGTTCTCGACGAGGGACATGGTAGTGAAGCTTTTTATTTTGCAACGAGTGATTCATTCAATCCCCTTGTGTTTGTTTTGACAGCATCATCACCAACAAACAACAGGAGAGTCACTCACACAAACTTATCGATACGACGAAGACTACACTTCGTTTGCATAATTCTMAATTCCCTTTGAAAGCAATTAAACTTGTCTTCACACAAATTCTTCCCCACGCAATAAATTAAATACATCACTTCCATACAAAATGAAATTCGAAACTTCAGCCCTGCTTCTTGCCATTGCCGCGTCCGCGAATGCCTTTGCCCCCGCCACCACCGGCTTCCGATCTGGTGTTGCCTTGAGAGATGGACTTTCCGTTGATCTTCCCAGCATTGAGAGTCAAGTAAGTGGATGGATCACGAATGGCAAGGATCTCTATCCTTAGGTCTCATTGTTCGTCAGTCAGTTGTGGAGAAGTGGTGAACACTACAAATGTTTGTCACACGACRAATACTTCTAACCTCAATAATATTCTTCGCTATCCGTATCTTTRTTTCTTAATTCTTGAAACCGTGRAATATCKCAAAAATAAATTATGTTTAATYAGATTGCCTACCAACCTGGTGCTGCCGACACCGACTTTGCCCGACGATTCGGAGGAGAGAAATACGTCAACGCCGATGTCCGCACCGTTGGAGAGTCTTTCACYGCTTTCACCGAAGAATACGGCTACCAGGTCAATGCCCTGTACAAGAACATGGTCACCGACCTCGTCGGAACCATCCACTTGATCACTGTCAAYGCCCGTTTCGTGAGAGACCCCGTCTGGTCCCTYGGAATCCTGAGCTCCCTCGAGTTGTTGCTCAAGAACTACCCCGAAGCCGGCATGTACGAGAAAATCACCTCTGCCCTCTTCAAGTCCGTRAACCTCGAYGAGGCCKCKATCCGCGCCGAMGCCRCCATGCTCGAGGAATGGGCCCAGGGAAAGACCCGCGAGGAAATGGAAGCCGCCCTCAAGAATGGAGACGACAGCCCCCTTGGAGTMGTCGCCCAGGCYGTYAAGGCGGACGAATACTGGATGTACTCCCGATACTTCGGAGTCGGTCTCCTCAAGCTCATGGAGATTKCCGGAATCGAAATGGACAAGGACGAGGTCTACCCCGTAATGGAAAACTGGATGTCGGACCAACTCGGACGCTCGCACCTCACTGCATGCGTAAGTGTGACCATATCAATTCTTGCGTCTATCTTTTTTTCTTGTATAGAACATCATCTTACAAAATTCTTTTGTTTCCTCTTGCTGACTACAACATGAAAACTACAGGGTGACAGTGACTTGTTCTTCCGAGTCAAGGAKAAGCTCGATATGATGGAGACCATGATGAAGGAAATCGAAATCCGTGAAAAGAAGCGAATGGCCGAACGACTCGAAAAGAAGGCCGAAGCCGCTCTGAGAGCCGCCGAACGGGAGGAAAAGATGAAGGTCGAGATCGAAAAGGAAGCCGAGGCCAACAGAGAACGCGTCGCTTCCGAGTAAACGCGCTCTCTCTGACCGGGCTCCCTTCTATGAGACGCGATCGAACCCATGTCTCGTGTCCACGGTGGATCACGGTACGATCCACGGAGCTCCGCAGTCTATGGTGGTGGAACACGCAACTGGTGTTGCCATCGGCGAAGAACGAGCTTTCTTCACGTACCTCATACACTACGCACAGAGCACACTCACAAACATCACACACAATATAGCTAATTACTCAACTCCAWTCGTGCGTCTATGGGGTACTTCCTCTCAGTCAGTCCAGATTTTGAAACCCTTTCTAAAAATGCMAATACAAGCTGTCCCCAGTTGGTAGGTTTCGGTAGCCTTGCTGGGCAGAGATATTTCTGTAAAATACCAATCCATATTAATCAAAAAATAGAAAAATCAGAACTTCTTTTTCTTTCATGTAGTTTAGTTTTACCTCTAGCATCATACCATATCTGTTAACACAAAAGAAGATCAAGGAGATACAAATCCAGAAAAGATTCAAACACCATTTCCTGCAATTTCCGTTTGAAGAGAACAAGTTGTCTCATTCTACCATGACCTCTGGAGTAGTACAACTAGTACTTTCAACTATCAGAAGTACTTGTTCTGATTTCAGAAGGTGACATGAAATTCATAGAAAAACCAGGAGGTATCTGTTTCAATGATTGTGATCCGTGATTTTCTGTGTTCGTGTTCTTTCGCTCTTTSCTACTGGCGCACGAATCGCATCGAAGATCGCTACGGTACTCGTACTTCTTCTACGTTAGATACGTACCGTACCCGTTAGTACCATGGTCTGGTTTTCAGAAGCTGACGTCACTAACATGCAAACAAGCAGCTCTCGACTCTAAGACGACGACGTACGACGCCCAGACAGGCATGCCCTCGGTGCGCCTCGGCCAGCGTCCGGGGTCTGAATCATCGCCGCAACACCCGCCCCCCGCCTCCGTTCCTCGCACGCGGGGATGCATCACCGCACCGCTGACCCACTCCCCTCGCGTTTTTTCGTACGAGAAAGGAGAGCCATCAAACAATCAAGGGCAACCCCGTGGTGGTACCTTACTGTAGCGTAGCCAGTTTCCGGGTACRTACTCTTACTTGTACTAGCGTACAGGTACTCGTGCTTCTTAGCTACCGTTCCTCCACATTCAATCAACGAATCGAACGCAAATAAATTGTTTGCCTAACCATTCGCAGAAACCCAGCAGCAATCACCACCTCCCCTGGGATCTGGCAAGAAGAACGACGAAGAATACAACGACGAAAATAGATACCTCCCTGTTTTCGACGCAAGAGGCAAACAATTCAACCTCCTCCATCACCAGACAACAACTCACGACGACCGGCCCAGGCAAGCACAACCCCATAAGATTCTACTCTCGCGACAGGTCCGATCTCTCCTGATCAATCTTTTGCAGTCCAATCTCACAACAGCGACACAACACAACACAACAACTACTACTGCTGCTGCACTCACCAAGGCTCAACCATGGCCCCGAACGACAATGCCTTCCCCCCGTGTGCCTGCTCGCACGGCAGATTCGGTCTCGCCCTGCTGATCGCGGTGTCGCAGCTCCTCCTCTTCTCCACCGCGCTGGTGGCCCCGCCGGCGCTTTCCCTCGTGGGACCCGCGGCCCGCAACCGAGCTTCCACCCCCTTGCGGATGGGGGCGGACCCGCCGCTCTCCGACGGAAAGAGCACGGAGATAGCCAGGCAGCTGGAACGGGCCAAGGCCGCCCTGGCCACCTCCCGCGCCAAGATGGAAGCCCAGGAGCGGGCCGGGGAAGAAGCCGACGCGGACGACGACGGCGAAACACCCAAGGAAAGCCTGCCGTTCTTTGCTGCGGCCGCCTYAGACGGCGGCAAGAAAGACCGGGTCATCAAGGACAAGAACGAGGACGGCCTCTTCACCACCGACGGAGACCTGATGGCCAAGCTCTCCGAGGAGGAGCAATGGGAGTCGCGTCCCCTGACACAGGTCTTTCARGACGAGATCGAAAAGTCCCCGGAGGCGATGAACATCGACCGGGACATCGGACAGAGCATGTACAACCTGCGCAAAACGCTGCAGACGGAGGATTTCACAACGATATTCGACAAGCGGAACCGGTTCATCGGTGAGGCATAGGGAGTGCGAGCAGCGCACCGCAACAGCGATGAAGAGCGGCATGGATGTTGTTGGCACGGGCGGCAGCTCCAAGTCGATGCGAAGCTTGCCCGTGGATGGTGCCGTGTTGTTTTTTGGTGTTTGTGCAGAAGCAGGAGCGAACGTCGGTTGCCACTAGAATCGCCGTTCGAGAAATTTCCGGTCCGGGGAAAGACCCTCGATCAGAACACGAATGGCAGTCTCGAGGACTTGCCGACCCGCAGGCAACTACGAAATAGGCCCTGCCGCAGTTTTTTTTCGAATCTCGCGTGTTCTCTATAACTACTACAAAGGCGAAGAACGGATCCCTCGTTCAATCGGGCCGCGATCACCACCAACATTATCATTCCCACGAAATTACTCTTTTTCACACACAAAACCCCGATTGCGTCCAGTGGGCTCCTTCAGAACTACCAATGAAAACAATACGCACAACACAACACACTAAAAATAAGCAATTCATTTCGATTCTACTATGGTTCTACTAGCTGTACTTCAATTTTTATTGAGGAATCCTCGCGTGAACTCCCAATCTCCGAAACAGTTTCTTCCGTGCGTTTCTCCATCGGACCGCGGCGAGGCGATACCTTATTCGGTAGGAGGCTTCGGACTCAGGTACGATTTCGACCCGTCCGGCATCAGGTCGCTCGCGTAGGTTTCCATGGCTCTGGCCATGTCGATGTCCTGCACGTTTGTGAACGACCAAAAAACAAACAAACGAACAAACAAAGTGTGAGCACTGGTTTCGCTTCGTTCCCGGTGGTTCATTGTTTTCCTGAAACCCTGAAACCCAGGAATCCATTAAAAATTGTGTTGATGGGTGGTGCGCATTGTTGAGTTTTTGTTTTGTGATGGTTTCGTTTCGTCTCCGTTCCTCCCCTCCCTTTTCTCTTTCACACACACACACACACACGAATGCACACAGAGAACGAGCCGAYCAGTAAACCCACCTTTTGGGAAACCCCGTCGCAGTCGTGCGTCGTCAGCGTTACTTCGACTCGATTGTATACATTCATCCACTCGGGGTGGTGGTCTAGCTTCTCTGCCAGCAGGGCCGATCGACTCATGAAGGACCACGCCTGGTTAAAGTCGGTAAACATAAAGGTTTTTGCAATCGACTTGTTGTCTTTCGCCTGTTATTCATCCAAAAAGGGAGCGAATCCACCAGCACAGGTAGAAATCCGGAGCAAGGGTTAGTTCCAAGCGTCTCACGGGACGAACGAGATGGTTGATGGTGCAAAGAACTCTACCGAATGGACACGTCCCGGCGGGCCGCTCGGATCGGTTCTGTTCTGTTCTGTTCTGTTCTGTTTCGCGGTTTGCGCCGCCACCAACTTACCGCGATCCACGGAAAGGGCGTTCCCTGGTACGTGATCAACCGCACCGATGCCGCGACTTCCTCGTCCCCAAACTTTTTGGGCCCGTCGCCCGGTCCGCCGGAGGAGTGCCGAAGGGCCGTCGTTGACGCCGGGACGCGGATTCTTGGAGGGAACCGCGGAGACCGGATGGTTTTGCACAGCAACGAATTCATTGTCTTCGGTTGCTAGGATCGGGACGGAACGAGACGTAAGTTGTCTGTACGGTTCTGTACGGTACCTCGCAGGTGTTCTAGAACGATTTGTGCTGCTATCAAAATACGATTGGGGGATTCGTTTGTTGTCATTGATCCATCCATTCTTGGTGATTGACGATGAACGATTCTCATTTCCTCACGAGTTTCAAAAACCAGAAGATAGAAAATTCGGTCGGGCATCAAGAATTTCGCGCGCAGAAATCCCCAGGTACTATCTTAGTGCCATTGACTTTATT